GGGGACTTTAGGGGCTCCGTAAATTTGTCCTTTCAAGGATTACTGTAGAAAGATGCCGGTTCAACATGACTGTGGTCTCTACAGATAGAAACAGCTCATTCTAAGTTAACAAAAACACGATTATTCTTTTCAGGTTATTATACACTAATGAAAACATACTTATGAATATTATATTCCATTCCTGACAATAGATCCTCCTCAATGTTACACACTGGATGTTTAAGGAAAAAGGTTGGAACCATACACCAGCACCTCTTAAATTTGTTAGTGTAATTCATTTGCCCAAAACTTTATTTGTTCAAATTTCTATAGATACCGCAATAATGTAGTTTGTAAATTATTTTGGCTATGATAATTCATATGGCCATATAGTGTACCTGCAAAGCTATATCTAATGATTTTACCATCAGCCTCAGCTGTACTTTCTCTTTAGCGCTAAGATGAGCACAAGACTTGGTTTTGGCTTGTTAACATTTTCACTGTGAACATGTTAGCATACTGATACATGCTCACAAAGCTGATTTGCAGCTGTGTTTTGTTATTTGCTGTTGTGATTTGCACTTCAACGCCACACTACTTTTGGCACCAGTGCAATCTCATGACCCCACAGATCTTTGTAACTCTTCTTGGGGTCCTGACCCTGTTGTTGGAAACCACTGTGTATCTGTAAAGCTGAGATTAAAGCAGTAAATAAACAGTTGAAAGACACTGTTAAGTTCATTTATTTCAGTGATGTTAACGAGCACATACTAACCATTCACAGTTTGACAAACCTCTGACTGCAGCTGTGCTTCTGAGAAACTGGGCTGTGACAGATTATTATTATTACTGTTTAACACCAGTGTCAATGATAATGCCCTAAAATACAAACATGAGCTAATCATCTGTGTGTCATTGTCATGATGCTAAAAAATAAAAATCTGATGCCATAGCAAGCAACACCAGTTACCTGATTGACACTGACAAAAGCTCTACGACATCACTGCCCATTTACTATGTACAGTCTTCACTCATTTACAGTTTTGCCTTATACACATATACATAATGCAACTACACTTGCAACATAGGAGAGAAAAGCTCAGTGTGACTGACTGAGGACCACTGTTAGGAAACAAATGTGACATTTTAAGGACAAAGTTTAAATATTTAGGAAAAGAAATCTTGAAATGTTTTTTACAAGAAAAAGAGAAAACATGAGAAATAGTTGTAGCACTTCAAGAAAATGGCTGCAGAGAACGCCAAATTTAATTGGGCACATGGCATTGTATATGCCAGCATTTTCTGACAGTCCATATACGTTTGTATAGCCAGGGATGGGATGATGTACAGTTTTATTGCATATTGGGATAAAAAACAGATATAGATAATTGGTATACTGTAGTGACTTTCTATTAACAGGGTAATCGTGAATACCCTCACGAGTGACTAGAAAAAGCTGTCTAGCTCACTGATGTAATCACCAATGTATTTTTTTTTATGTATATCATTTTTATTGACACATTTTGCTAACATTGATTGTTAAAGAGATCAGGCTGCTGTCTGTTATGCAATAAATATATGTGTTTCTTAACTAAATGTAAGGTAAACTGATTCCAGTATGTTTTAGTGCCATATCATGAGTTTCAAACATATTTTAATAATTATCGCGATACTATTGTGAATCGCAATTATTTTGGTCAGGATAATCCTGACATGTACTTTTCATATCGTCCACGTAACTTCAGTTTTGACGGTGTCAGTCTGTGCAGTGTCACTGTTTATTAAGACAAATATTTTCAGAATATTATGAGTTGTGACCTTTTCTCTTAAAATGTTAAAGTTATCTCATTAATTTCTTCTTTAGCACTTAGTTATTCTCATAATATCACAACTTTTTTCTCTTTGCAACATTATAACTTTATTCTAATAATATTCAAACTTTTCTTATAGTTCAACTTTTGACTGCACAACATTATAACTTAATTTTAATATCACTTTTTTTGTGCAACATCATGACTTTTCTTACAATCATTGCAAATTTTCTTTTTCTTAAAAACAACTTTTTTTCTTCATTACAATATCCTTATAATAACATAATACATCAATTAAAAGAACGGTCCCAATTAGACGCAGCGATATTGTTAGTTATATGATAACTTCATTTTTATACAAGTAATATTCATACTGGTTTAAATGAACAATCTGATAGTATTTGCCATCTTTGCTGTGAAAGAGTTTTGTGGAATTAAAGGCCTGTCCCAGATTAAGGCAGGCTGAGTTCAGTCATTGAAGCAAATAAAAACCTGGGCTATTATTGAAGTGTTATGGTATTACAACTTTTGTCTTGTAACTATTTGTCCTAACATTATTTTCATAATATTGTTTTTTTCTTTGCAACATTTAAATTTTATTCTCATTGCATTACTTTTTTCTTAAAGCTATATTTAAAGCTGCAGTAGGTCATTTTTGTCACATTTGCTGAAACTTTCACTATATCCTGTTTCAAGAAATATGACATATGATATTAATTTTTTTATAAAGTTACCTACTGCAGCTTTAAAAATGTTCTCTTAATTGAGAAAACTTAATTGTTTATTGTTTTTTTCGAACAGTGGCCCTTCATTGCTACCTGCTATCTCGAGCTGTGATTCTCAGACTGCTTCAGACCTGCAGGAGAGGATCAGTTCTAAGATGAAACCAGATTCCTGTTGCCCAGTCCTCTCCTGCTGTTGTAGGATCTTGTCTTATATTCAATGTTTAGTACTCAGACTCCTCACAAACTGATCACATCACTAGTTTTAGAGGTGTCTGAGAGTGGACGGAATGTTTTAGCATGAGGTGACTCAGTTCCAGAAACCATGTGCCACAGAGGGTCCACAGTTTGCAGGTTGTTTCCATTCTGACCAGCAGGTGGTGTCACACTCTAACGAGGAATCATTCAGTGAAGTCAGAAGCATTCGTCCTTTCAGGCCGCATTTACAATGGGATGTTAAAACACTACATAAACCATGCTGCTAGTAGTGTGTACAGATTCAGTTCTGGATGTGGAACAGGGTTACGGATGATTAGGAGTCCTCTAAAGAGAAAGCTCGGTGTGTGTTGGGGAATCTCTGGGCGTTGTAGTCTGGATCGTCTCTCACTCGCTCCTTGATGTCACTCTTTACCTGACAGAGAGAGTCACAGAATGACCTGATTACAAAAAATCTTCATCCCAGGTCATTGTGTTCATATGTAAAGAACTAAGTATACTTTATCGGACTTTTGATATGACATAAGTCTGTTTTTTTTTGTTCTTTAAAGCTAGCTTTAGTAGTGTATCTGGAGCTGATAGAGTACAAATCCTTCCACTCAAACAACAATTTAGTTTACTCTTGAATGGATGATTGAAGACCTATGTTCTAAATGTAGTTGAGTTGTGTACTTCCCGATTATCCAAATGTTTTTCCACACAATATGACGAAACTCCAGAGAAAATCCCTGGGATTCATTTCTCAGTTTTAAAGCGCAGCGCTTGGCGTCACCTGTCGCCCTGTCCAATGGAACACTCTCGACCCACCGCGGGTTTTAGCCAACTATAAGACCGATTTCCACCCTCTTCCTGCTCGTTCTAGAAAAAATAGTCACCAAACCCAGTTACTGCTTGATTTTTAATAAAACATGACTATTAATATTTGAATGGATTTTTTCAGTCCAGTGATTGTAGAGTTCATCACAGACCTCGTCAGCGCCACCCGATTCCCCGCGCCCCAGCCTACTGTGCTCTCACCGACTTCCTTCCCGACACGAGCACAGCTCTGGGTTACAGCTTACCCTGTAATGACGTTTGATTGGCTTCTGTCACCACAAAAAATTGTTTGTGGCGACGCATGTCCTCATGTACTATGTATTTATTACATCTTATGCTAGCAGGCATTTGACACCATCTGGACCCATCAATATCTCTTCTTTACAGAGATCATAAATGAGAAATATATAAGAGATCAATAAAGAAGAAACAGCACATAAGCAATGGTTATGCGTCCTACTTACTCAGCATCGGTTCACTAGCTTTGCTTCATCGCTTAGACGAGTGAACTCTCCTTCTATAAGAATAGCCGCGGCGCGCCTCACGCCACGTTGTCACGGAGCTTCCAAAGTTCTGGTACTT